CTTGAGTTGACAGTTTAAGGCAATTTCTCATCCTTTGGGAGCAGGAGTATGGGAATCAGACCCTCCTTAAAGTGGACCTGGGTCAGTGTCTTGGCTGGAACCTATATGTGTCATTAGCATGAAGGTGTGAATGAGGCTGAGGTCACGGACAGGACAGTAGGACATTCAGGTGGGTCTGTCCTAGGAGGGGTTTAAGAATGATTATACCCCAAGAATGAGAGGAGCCCATCAGATGGTCACTTTTTAAAGAGCAGGTATTTCAGAGGGAAAGAGCAGAGATGGAAAAGGCAGCCCATAAATGGTAGGCCAAGTCCACTTCCCTAATATGAGGACTTCCCAGGACCCTTAAGTACGTCTGCTGCTGCACCTGCGTCTGTACTGCATCCAAGATCCCGACTCTCTGATATACTGGAGTCAACACCCACAGTCTCATGGTGGCACAGCAAAGGTATTAGTTTAAACTAGACTTAAGCCCAGGGTCCTTAAATCCTGCATAGCAGCCATTTCCATGGGGGCGGTCTCTCACTCAAATGGACTTGAGGTCCTCTAGACCTTGCTCCAGGAGGACAGGTATGATGTGACACTCATGGCACTTTGTGGGCATTCGTTTGACATTCAGGGCATACATATATGGGAAAAGGGGATCAGAAAAAGTGGATGAGCTGTTGCCCCACACACATGGTGAGGCCCTAGGCCTTGGTTACATTTAAAAAAATTATTTAATAAACAGAAGACGATTCACTTTGTGACACCATGAAGAAATAGCTATAGTCTCTCTCAGCTCCCACACATTGTCTAGATTCTTTTGTGTTTGGGAGGCAGCATATTCCTTATTTACTAATTTTATTTGAACCCATTTATGCTGTTACTCACAATCTGCTCCACCTTGAGTGGGTGTTCCTACCATAGAAGGCTCTAGACCGTTTCAGTTGTCACAGGACAGGCACCCCTGATGGCATCCTCAGAGACCCCTTCACTATAGACACTTCATTAACCACCTCTCTGAGCTCCTTAGACTTACCCGTGATGGCCTTACGTTGCAATTTTTGTCTCCCTTTCCTTCATTTTGTTGAGTAGATGCTTGTCAATTTTATTAATTGTCTCAAAAAACAGCTTTTTTGTTTTGTGTTTACAATTGCATTGATTTTTTCCCCCTAATTTTCTATTCTAACTTTTAGCACTTATTTTGGGTTTAATGTGCTTGGCTTTTTATTGCTTCCTAAAATAGATCCTTACATTATATGATTGTAGATCTTTCTTTTGCCCAGTGTATTTGTTCAATGGCATAAATTTTTCTTTAGGTATTGCTTTTGCTGCATCCCACAACCTTTGTAAAGTTGTAGTTTCATTTCATTTAGTTCAAATAATTTTTCATTTATTTTAAGGCAACTTCTTTGATCCTGTGTATTATTTACATTTATGTTGCTGAATCTCCACATATTTGGATGTTTTCCAACTCTTTTGCTATTACTGATTTCTAGCTTAATGTCTGTGGTGTAAGAGCTTATTTTGTATGATTTCTGTCCTTTCAAATTTGTTAAGATGTGTTTTATGTCCCAGAATGTGTTCTGTCTTGGTGAGTGTTCCATGTGAACTTGAGAAGAATGTGTATTCTCTTGTTGCTGTATGAAGTAGACCCATAATTTAAATTTTTAAGGCATAGATTTTAATCACATATTATAATTTTTAAATTAAATTTTGTTGTTACATGACAGTGTTCAGTTAAACCCTGTTCTTTGTGATTTCTTTCTGCTGGAATTTATAATTTGTGATAGAGTGTTTAAATCTACAGCAATCCTAGTGGGCTCAGCTATTTCTCCTTGCAGTTTGTCTGCCCCTGCCTCAAGTATTTTACCCCTGTACTGTTATGTAGAAGCATATAAAGAACTGCTGTGCCTTCTTGGAGAATGGACCTCTTTATCATTATGTAATGTCTGTCTTTACCTATGAGTTCTTTTTCTTTTGGTCTGAAACCTGCATTGTCTGAAATTCATATATTTATGCCAGCTTTCTTTTTTTCTTAATTGTTGTTCAATTACAGTTGTTCCCATTTTCCCCCCATTACTCTCCCCTGCCTTACCCACCCCCCACCTCCCACATTACATTTTTTTCTATGCCTTTACCTTTCACCTATCTGGGTCTTCATATTTAAAGTGGGCTTATTATTGTGGGCAACATATAATTGTCATTTTAAAATCTGATAGTCCAGTACTTTATTTGTCTTTCAGTTGTAGTGAGGCCATTGATGATTAAAGTGGTGATTGATACAGTTGGATTAATATCTGCCATAACTTGTTCTGTGTTTCATTTGTTGCCCTTGCTCTTTGTTTCTTCTTCGTTTTCAACCTTTTTTCTTCATTCTTTGACTTTAATTGAGCATTTGACCTGATTTATTTTCTCCTCTCTTACATCAAATACACATATTTTCTTAAACATTTTAGTGGTTGCCTTTGAGTTTTGCGGATACATTTACAACTTCGCCGCCACCTTTGTCAAGTCACATTGTACCCCTTCACTGGTTGTGCAACCACCTTACACCACTATTCCCAATTCCCCCGCTTTGTTCCTTGTCACATTGCTTTCATTTATTTCAGTTGTCCATAGCTTGAAATCACTAAATACATGATTTCTAATATTGTAAACAAGATGTCATCTATTGTATGATGTGTTTAGTGTTCTGTGTTCATCCTGTATCTGCAGTGTGCCATCTGTCATTAATTTGAGGAAATCTCAGTGAGTGTTACTTTATTGTCTTTCTGTCTTTTATGTTTCTCAGGTAGTTCCATCAGGTGTATTTAACCTTCTGTTTAAAGAAGGTATCTAGGGATTATAGATATTGTGTTCTGCTTTTTTGATCCTTTTTTGTTTGTTTGTTTGTTTTTGGCCTTTGCATTAGACTTTGCTGAGATAGATTTTTTTAAAGATTTTATTTGCTTTCAGAGAGAGGGAAAAGGAGGGGGAGAGAAACATCAGTGTGTGAGAGATACATTGATTGGTTGCCTCTCACACAACCCCAACTGGGAACCTGGTCTGCAACTGAGGCATGCGCCCTGACCGGGAATCAAACTAGCAATCTTTAGGTTCACAGGACACTGCTCAATCCACTGCGCCATACCAGTTAGGGCTGAAATAGATTTTTTTTGAGTACAGGCCATATTTACAACAGAATATTTGGGATATTTTTCTAAATGCCAAGTTTATTTTCTCTTTTCCAATTTTGGTGACATCGAGTTGCCCTGTGACCTAAATGCTTTGATACATCTAAGAAGAGAAGTTCCTTTCAAATTTTTTAGGTGGTTTTTTTTTTTTGTTGGTTTTTTTTGTGAGTTTGGGAATGACAACTTCTAAGTTACTTAAATGTCAGGCCAGAAACCGTCAGTCTCCCACTCTGATTTTTTTCTTGCTCTCATTCTTAATTTCCTTCTTTTATTGATTTTAAAGAAAGAGTAAGGGAGGCAGAAACACTGATGTGAGAAACATCGATGGGTTGCCACCTGCATGCACTCTAACTCAGGACGGAATCTGCAACCCAGGCATGTGCCCTGAGTGGGAATCAATCCGACCTTTCATGTCTGTGGGATGATGCCCAATCCACTGGACCATACCAGCTAGGGCAGCCTGCTTTAATTCTTGATGATCGATTGCTGAGAGCTCTAGAGCCTCATTCCTGCTCTTTTTGCTTGTGCTCCACGTCTATATAAGGTGATGAGAAAGCCTCAGTGCGCCCTCCTTGTGACTAAATCCTCACAAGCTTCTGCTCCCGTGTGCTAATGCTCACCCTAGCTCACCCTGTAACCTGCACCTCTCTTCTCTTGCAGGCTATTCAATACCCTCCTGAGAGACCTGCCTTACTCTGTCCAGTCACCTCTTTTGGGACAGTAATAAACCCATACATACCCTATAGGTTGGGTGTGCTGCCATCTGCAGAGGGTTCTCATGCTCAAGGTTGAGCTATGCTGTTCCTTGACTCCACCAGGAGTTTGGAAATGACAGAAGGGAGGGTGGCCCACAGAGTGGCTGTTCAGGAGACACTTCCTGCTGATTGGAGAATGGATGTTATATGCTCTTTTGAAGGAAATCACTGCTGCAACCTTTACATATTTTATAATCATGAGCTCTCTTGCACCCTAAACCTCTTATTCTGATCCTCCATGTCAGCAGCTCCCATGAAAGAGTATTATAGTTGTGCTGGAAAGAGCTCTTCTGCTATATTATTATCTCAGCGTGTGCCTGTGTGTGCCGAGAACCAGCCCTGAGGCATGTGTAGGGATTTTGTTATGTAATTTGTCATGCCTTCTACTTTGTGTCTGAGCTTTAAGTCTGAAATAACTTTTTAGGCCATCAAATGAGACAAAGAGAAAGGAAAAACAGTCTGTGGAAAATACTTCACAGGGTAAGAGCAGTGCTTTTCCACAAGGAGATTTCCATGCAACCAGCTGCCTGTGGTTACTTCTCACATCCTGGAGGAATTTAGGACAATATGGCCAGATGGGCTTTGTTACAAGTTGGATTTCCACACGCCTCTTGGATGCTCATGTTTGGGAAGGAACTAGAACAAAAAGCTTGTAGCTCTTCACTGTGTTTTTATTCATTAAAACCTCATTGCAGATGTAAACATCTGCCTCATGGAATGCTGTAAATGGTGGGCAGAGAGGAAGGAGATGAAAAACCGTTTCTCAAAAAGAATTGATGGCCTTACAATGATAATATTTCATTTGAATAGTAATGCTGTTATTTTCAAACATGCTCTGAACCCTGCCATTAGAAAAAAAAAAAAGGTGTGAGTATAGTAACAACGTGTAAACAATTTTCATGCATTCATGATGGTGTTAAATTTATGAGGAAACAAGTGTGGACAGAGAGTGAGTTTCTTATAATCAAATCATAGAATAGATGTAGGGAGACAATAGAACTATACATGACCTTCCTATAAATGGGGTCTAGGTGTCCACTGCTGTCATTCTCACCCATTGAACAGTACACATATTTTGGGTTTTTAGGATTTGGTGGCCTTTGAGGATGTGGCTGTGAACTTCAGTCTGGAGGAGTGGGCCTTACTGGATTCTCCACAGAAGAAACTCTACAGAGATGTGATGCAGGAAACCTTCAGGAACCTGGCCTCCATAGGTAAGCATGACAAGTTATCTTTACTTTGTTAATCAGAGGACAGGTGTTTTTTGGCCATCAACATTGATCTTAGATGCGGGATGTGGGAAGGGAGGACATTGGTAACCAAACTGGGCATGGTCACAGCTCATCATAGAACTAGAATCTAATGATTTTTCTAGAATTTCTAATACTTTGGAATCAATTTTCTGGGTCTGCATTTTAGGAAAGAAATGGGAAGATCATGGCATTGAAGATCAGTACAAAAATCAAAGGAGAAAACAAAGGTGAGTCACACTCACAATACAAAGCACTATCTTTTTTTAGGAAATTGTTATGCTACCAAATTTAAAAAGAAGCAACCAAAATAATTTCTTCTTCGAATTTTATTACTTCTCAGAAAATTTCCACGTATTTTCTTATATATGACAAAGTTCAATGTTTGAAAAGTAATTTGAATCAAAAGAGTGTTGATAAACCCCTTAGATGAATATCACTGTTTTGATAGTAGCAAAGGTAAACTCCTCTTGCAAAGCATTCAGTACATTAAGTTTCTAATCATTCATTCAGACAAGGAGAAAATCTATATTTTTGCTATAAATCTTGAAAATATAGTTCAAATATTGTACTAATAATTTAAAAATCATTAATGAAAAAGTAATGTACTTCTCAATTTTTATAGAAATCCAACATTAGAGAGAATCTGTGAAGGGAAAGAGAGTAGTCAATATGCGGAAAACTTCAGCCTTATTCCAAATCTCCATCTGAAGAAGAAAACTCCTCCAGGAGGAAAACCCTGGGAATACAGCATGTGTGGGAAAGTCTTCATGCATCATTCATCCCCTAATGGGCACGTCCGATGTCACACTGGACACAAAGCATGTGGTCATCAAAATTATGGAAACAAACTATATAATTATGATGCATGTGAGAGAGCCTTCAGTTATCTTCAGTGTTTTGACAAACGTGAAAGAAATCCCAATGGAGAAGAAGCCTATAAATGTAAGGAATGTGGGAAAACCTTTAGTTCTTCAAATTCATTTCAAATACATGAAAGATCCCACACTGGAGAAAAACCTTATAAATGTAAACAATGTGGTAAAGCATTCAGTTGTCTCAGTTCTCTTCGACGTCATGAAAAAATTCACACTGGAGAAAAACCCTATGAATGTAAGGAGTGTGGAAAAACCTTCAGATATTATCAAAATTATCGAAGACATGAAAGTAAATTTACTGGAGAGAAGCCCTATCAATGTAAGGAGTGTGCAGGAGTCTTCATATGTTATCAAAGTTTTCGAAAACATGAAAGAAATCACAGAGAAGTGAAACCATATGTATGTAAACAATGTGGTAAAACATTTAGTTGTCTCCGTTATCTTCGAAAACATGAAAGAAATCACACTGGAAAGAAACCCTATGAATGTAAAAAGTGTAGTAAAGCATTTAGGTATCCCAGTGATCTTCAAAAACATGAAAGAAATCACACTGGAGAGAAACCCTTTGGATGTCTGGAGTGTGGGAAAGCCTACAGAGATCCCAGTTCCCTACAAACACATCAAAGAACCCATATTGGAGAGAAACCCTATGAATGTAAGGAATGTGGAAAAGCTTTCAGTTCTCATCAGTGTGTCCAAATACATGAAAGAAATCACACTGGAGAGAAACCCTATCAATGTAAAATATGTAGCAAAACATTTGGTTATCCCAGTTCTCTTCGATATCACAAAAGGACGCATACAGGAGAGAAATCCTATGAATGTAAGGAATGTGGGAAAGCCTATAGATATCTCAGTTCCTTACGAATACATGAAAGGATTCATACTGGAGAGAAACCTTATGAATGTAAGGAATGTGGAAAATCCTACAGATGTTATCAAAGTTTCCAAACACATGAAAGTAATCACACTGGAGAGAAACCCTATGTATGTAAAAAATGTAGTAAAGCATTTACTTGTCTCCATTATCTTCGAAAACATGAAATAAATCACACTGGAAAGAAACCCTATCAATGTAAAAATTGTAATAAAACATTTAGGTATCCTAGTGATCTTCAGAAACATGAAAGAAATCACACTGGAGAAAAACCCTTTGAATGTAAGGAGTGTGGGAAAGCCTACGGAGATCACAGTTCCCTGCAAACACATGAAAAAACTCACACTGTGGACAAACCCTATGAATGTAAGGAATGTGGGAAAGCCTTCAGGTGGTATCGAAGTTATCAAACACATGAAAGAAATCACACTGGGGAGAAGCCATATGTATGTAAAAAATGTAGTAAAGCATTTACTTGTCTCCGTTACCTTCGAAAACATGAAAGAACTCACACTGGAGAGAACCCCATATATGTAAGCAATTTGGAAAAGTCTTCATTTATCACACAACCTTTCAAAATGTGAAAATGCACACTGGAGAAAAACCATATTAATGTGCAGAATTTGGGAGAGGTACACTTTTCCCAGTTCCTCTCAAGATCATAAAAGGACTCACTGGATAAAAACTCTAGAATGTAAACAGTTTGAGAAAAGATTTGAGTTGGTTCACAGTCTTACAAGTGAAAGTTTCCTTCAAAAAAGAAATTAAAATGTTAGTAATGTGAGAAAGCTTGATAGAAATTAGTCCACATATAATGTGCCAGAAAGTTTTCAACGTGAATGAGTTCTCCTTAATGTTATAAATATGTTGTGTTTATTGAAGCTTTTTCTGTACTTCATTATTGGACTGTGGATTTCTACTAATTACTTTCAGAAATGAATACTCACATGAGACAATAATGAGAATCTTTCAACAATAGTACATAAAGTTAATAGGTAGTGCTGTTTTCTTAAAACATTTAATATTTTGTCTCTGTCTTGAAGCCTGTTATTAATAGATACATAGATGAATTGAAGTCTGTTTTTTATATGCATTTAGGTTAAATATCTTTCTATAATCTTCTATTTATTTATACTTATGGGACCATTGGAAAATGACAGTTTTGTATTAGGGTTTTCCCAGTGCCTGAGATAGTCCTTTATATCCCTAGTCCATTATATACATTCTGCTTTTCCCTCTGACAAAGCTCCTTTTTTGGCATGGTAAGTGTAGGAGCCTTTTTCTATTTTCTATACTGATAAATATTTGGGATAAATTTCATGTATGGCAAGTTCAGGAAAGAATATAGTTATATGTGAATTATTTTAATATTTGGACCTTTGCTTTTTGTTCCTCCTTTGGACTGATGTTTGGTGAAGACACTTCGAATGAAGAACAGGGACCTGTGATAGGGCAGCAAAATCAAGAGCTGCAGATTTCCCCTCCTGTTGGGTAATGGTAGGACCTTGATTTTCCAGAGTCCATCTTCTTCTTGGTCTCTGTTAGAATTCCTTATAGCCTCACTTGCATGAGATTTGGAAGGCAAAAACAAAGGCGGCCAGCATTCCCACAGACAGACACAGGAGCTTCAAGGACAAGATCTTCTACCCTGTTCCCTGTATTGTTTGACCTTCCAATAAAGACTAACCTCAAAACCACCACCAACTGTTGGATGACCATTTTCTGAGGAGTGTAGGTTTCTGCTGATGTCTTCACGAATTCCACATCAAAGATCCATCAGAGCTTAGATTTTTCTGTAAACCCTCTTGTGTCCACTAGGAAACTGATTCACACTTCATGCTCATGTCTGATTCGCCTCTTCTCTAGATTATAGAGAAGATCTAACTCGTATAGGAAACACCTTATGCACTTAACAGTGCTAATGAATGTGTTTCTTACTGCAACGTCTACAATGGTGCCGTCAGAAAGTGACACCTGTCGGTAAGGTTGTAGGTGTTTCCTATTGTAGCTGCATGTAATTCTTCAACATGTTTTCAATCATGTTTGATTGTATGTGATTAAAAGTATGTGTACTGTCAAATGAACACTTCTGCAGATACTCTATTGAAGTATTTTATTAACTTTTTTCTAAGGTCTTGTATGCTGACAAATCTGTGTTTTTATTTCCTGAGAAGGTATGTTAAAATGTTCCATAATAATTATGGATTTCCAAATAAACTTTGTAATTCTCTTCATTAATTATACTTTATGGGTTAATTTTATTATGTGCATTTATGATCAGGTAATTTTTCCTCAGGCATATTTTGCTTTTTTTTTTTCATAGTTACAGCTTTTGTCATGACAGAAATTGCCATTCAATCTTAATACCAAAACTCTAAATCATGGTTTTTTCAATGCTCTCTTGCCAGTGACCTGTGTGATTGAGGCTGTAATTAAAAAGGAATGTAATGAATTCTAACAACAATAACCCACAAAGTACACATGACTGTGGGGTGTAACATAAAGGTTGATGAGGACTTTTATAGGATTTGGTCTGTGATACATGATATTATGGCTGTTTAAGGTATCAAGACATTTTTGTATACTCAATGCTCTGAGGAGGTAAATACATTTATTATGTTACTGGTAATTATAAACCTTATTTTTTGGAAAGCATTGTAGTGGAAATTTGTCAGAAGCCCCAGTGAGTCACATTAGTAAGAAGAGGGCAATATTGGCCACTTTTATAATTTGGCATTGTCACCTTTGTCATTTTGTGAGCCACTGTCCATCATGGTCACCAAGGACCTTTGCTGAAGGTGTGAGACATTGTTCTCTTGGCAGGGATGAGGCTCGGCTGTGCAATGACTGCAGCTCCTGTCCTCTGAGACAGCCTGTGGCTTTGGTACTTACCTCCGAACACTGGTGTGTTTCCTACAGTGCGTTACACCATTTGCTATAGTGTATTTCAGTTAAAATATGTAAAGTCACTTCTTAGTGTACTGCATAATACTAATAATGCATTTCTGACTCATCAGAGCCCTCTACGTGTAGGTAAGTTGTGAGAGAACACAAACCTAGCAAGGGAGAAAGTCAGGACCACTGGCCTGTCAGGCCTCTGTTGCTCAGAGACTGCTCTTGACGCCAATGATTCAATATCCTTCCTTTCCATGCACTTAGTCATCGTGCGTAATTCAGCACAAATAATCAAGGCCCTGTAGAATTTGGATACAGTAACCTGAGACAAACATGTTCTTGCAGTCCTGGTGCTTATATTTTGTGGGAAAAGAGAGATGGTTAACAAATGGTAAAGCTTTAGTTTATAAGAAGGAAATAAGGGCTATGAAGGAAAGTGAGAACTGACGTGATGTAATAGGGAGTGTGTGTGTCTATGTTATGAGAGTAGGAGCCTCACTGAGTGAGGATGTTGTTATTGATCACTTGTAGTTTGACCATGTAACACATCTGAAACTCTGTTTCAGAAGCTGCTTGGTTATGGAAATACAGGATGGTAACACAGAGTTTCCTGCTTTCACTGATTCACAGTAAAGATTCACCATAAAGATAAAGATACAAACATGGTTTATCTTTACATGGTTGTTACAGATGTGTGTCTATAACGTGGTCATGAGTTTGGGCATTGTTTTGTGGAACTTGAGACTTCCTATTGATTTTAGCCACAGACTTGTGGTGTCTTTCTGTGCTTAATTCATTTGAAAGGATTTACACTTGACTTTAAATATTTAATATCTTGTATATGCCATTTTTATATTGCTGCTGTACACACTGACACAATGTATATACACCAGTGCACCACAGAGTCCTCCCAGTTGAAGAAAGAGTTACGTTCACCTGCACCGTTCTAGGCCATCCTGAGTTTACTTTATGTGTGGATGATACCCATGCCAGTCTGCTGTGATTCCCCCGTGGAAACAGCACGAAGAGTTGTGCATATGTAAAGGCAGTCGTCCAAGGAAAAATTGATGTGAGTTGCAGAGAGAGGATATTATTTTGAGTCATATCCTAACTGAGTATGACAGGAGAGATGGGAACTTCATGACATCTTTTTCTTGCAAGAGTAGAGGGAAGTCTTTTGTTTCGTGATCCAGCCCTGTGGCCCGTTTGCTGTTCACATGGCCCATTTGCTGTTGCAGAAGTGAATAACACACTTGCTTTCTTTCATATGCTGAGAGCGTGATCCTATCTCCTGCCCTAGCCAGATGGCTTGGTGGGAGCATCATTCCTTAACTGAAAGGTTGTGGGTTTGGTTTCCGGTCAGGGCACTTGCCTAGGTTGTGGGTTCAATCCCTAGTCAGGAAGCCTAAGGGAGGCAACCAATCTCCGCTTCTCTCTCACTTCAGTGTTTCTCTCTCTAAAAAGCAATTTTTAAAATGCCCCCTGGTGAGGATTAAAAAAATAATAATGCTCAGTTCTGAAACTTGATTTTTATGTGTTCAGAACTTCTTACCATGTAACTGATGCTCATCTGGGCACATACGATGCCATCCAACAAATGCACCATTTATGCCAATGGAGAAATGTCGAACACACTCAGGTTACATGTAGTAGACAGCTAATGCTTTAGATGATTTCTTGAAGGAAAAGTCTGCAGTCATGGTAGCTGATGGTCACTTGGCTTTGGATTACTTATTAGCAGCCAGGGAGAGTTCTGTTCCCCTAAAAGGACCACTGGCTGCATGCGGGCAGGCTGCCCTGGCAAGGCGCCACCAATAACACATGAGACAACAGATTGAAATAAGCACATTTCTAAAATATTTAAACAGAGTTCTGGAATCATATTAACAGTTTCCTGGATCATCCAAACACTCTGGGATGACTAGATTCAAAAACTTTTTAAAAGCTTCATTTTTTAAATTATAATGTTAATACATTGCTTGTGCTTTTCACATGGCTTTTTAAAAATGATTTTTAAAAAAATTTTTAGAGGAGAAACAAGGGAGAAAGACGGCTTAGAAAGTGATGTGCAAGGGAAATAGGGATCAGTTGCCTCATTCACGTCCCCAGCTGGGGTCCTGGCCTGCATCCCAGGCCTGTGCCCTGACTGGTAACAGAACCGGCAGCCTTTCAGTCTGCAGGCCAGCACTCGATCCATTGAGCCACGACAGCCAGGGCTTCACATGGCTTTTAACTTAATGTTCAAATTTAAATTTATGAGTTTTGGCTAATTCATCGATTGAATCAGGTACTTTTTGAGGAAAACGACCCCTGCAATATTGCTACCACTCGGACCTGACTGGGCCATGAAGGTTGTCTGTGTACTCCGTGTAGCTGATGCTGATATAACCCCTTCAGGTCCACCAGGCAGAAGGTGGTCACTTCCAGGGTGGATCTCCCACCACCCGCGGTTGAGTGGGGCGGGGGTAGTGGATTGAAAAATGTCTCCCAGAAATTCATGTCTACCCAGAATCTTAGAATTTGACTTTATATAAAAACTGAGTCTTTGCAGACATGATTAGTTAAAGATATGAAGATGAACTCACCCTGAATTTAGGGTGGGCCTTATATCCAATGACTGAGTCCTTACAAAAAAAAGAGAGGACACAGAGACATGAAGGGAAGACCACCATGTGAAACACAGAGGCAGAGGCTGGAGCTCTGCTGACACCAGGCAAGGAATGCAGGCTCCGCCAGGAGCTGCTGGTGAAGAGCTGTGAATCAATGTGCAGTCTTCCATTCATTCTTAACTCAAACTATCGAAACCTAATAGCACCTTGTCTTAAAAAGTCTAATTATCACGTGGCTTATCATGTGGACGTCCTGAAGATCATTAATCATACTGGATGCCATCATGTGATCACACCTGAACGCTTTCATTTTTCACTGTGACTCACTGAAATCATAGTTTACATCTGGGGAACACTCAGGAATAATTTAAATACATGAGAGACAAAAAACCCCAACTAAAACTAAGATAAAATAATTTAACAGAATGTAAGAGAGGTGAAGAAAAGATTGAATGAGGGGAAAAATCAGCTCACATTAACAGGAGTAGGTATGCCCAGGCACAGGGGCAGGCGCTGTACAAATGCTGGGCAGGTCTTCTCCTGACCACCCCCGATGCCCACCTACTGTGCTCTCCTCCCAGTCATCTCAAAGCCTGTCAGCTGCTTCTACACTGTGACCTCACACAGCTCCACTTGTCAGAACTCCAGGTCTGACACGTAAGAACCCTGTGTATACCTGGCTCCACCTGTTTCTAAAAGGGTCCTGTGCCTGGATTCCACTGGACCATGGAGGGCCATGTGACGCCCCTCTCCCCCAGAACCCCTGCTAGAACTGTGCTGTCTAAAGCCCAAGGAAGTCCAGAAAATGCCTGATCGTTTTAAACTCCCATCACTCCTTTTCTGTCTTGGCCCAGTGAAAGAATCTCCTTATTCTTGCTTCTGTAATTTGACATTTTTTCCCCACCAAATACTGTCGATCACCTGTTGATTGAAAGATGATAATGTGTCCTATGCTGCAAGCATATTAACAAGTTTCTTGACTCAGGACCTAGGACCAGGGCCAAGACAATGAGCCTGCTGCCAAGGTTCTCTCTGTGTGAAATGTTCCCAGAAAACACGTCCTTCTGAAGAATCTGAGGTCAGCTCTAAACAAATCACCCAGGTAATTTTTAGTAACAGATAGCAGAAGTGCTAATTAAATTATAGTATAATGTCTTATATCCGAATTAGCATTTGGCAAAAAACAAAACAAAACAAAACAAAAACAAACCCAGAAAGATACAACTTATGTTAGAATGAGATATAAAAGCAAGCTTAATAAAATCATATTTGTATGGAATCAAATTAATTTACCATTAAAACAATCTCTGTAGCCCTAGTAGGTGTGGCTCAGTGGATTGAGTGCTGGTCTGTGAACTGAAAGGTTGCTGGTTTGATTCTCAGTTAAGGCACCTGCCTGGGTTGCGGGCCAGGTCCCCAGCTGGGGGTGCGAGAGGCAACCAATCGATGTTTCTCTCTCTTCCCTTCTCTCTAAAAATAAATAAAATCTTTAAAAAAATCTCTGTACGGTAGATATCACCTTTTCCTAAAGTGTAAGTATTATAACAAGAAATGGTAACTGATCCATCTCCAAGGGACCTCTGTAGAAAGTAATGTAAAAGTGAATAAAAATCATAGGAAACAGAAAGTAAGGTGTACGAAGACAAGATCTCCTTTCTTGTCTCATGAAACCCAATCTCTCACCCACAAAACCATCTCCTCTTCATATTTTTGTCTCTCAAAAGAGTTTTATAATGTACAATCTTACTATAACAAAGCATCGTAGCCCAAGCAAGAAGCAGGACTGACAATAAAGGACACTAGGACACTGAGAGCAGTCTTGGTGGACCACTTCCCAAAAGCCACGCCCCTGGACTTTTTTGGCACAAGCTCCTCATAATTTTCATTCAGTTTTCACAGTGTCTTTCTCGGCTCCTGGCTCTCTCTGCCTCCCTGGCCAGCCTGTCTGCCCTCAAGGCCACAGCCAGTCTCTCCCTGGCTTTTTTCACTTTCAGAGTCTGTCTCCGGATACTTGTACGGGTAACTGGTTGTCTGCAGAGAAGCTGTGGGACACAGAGACCGGCTCCTGGGATCATCTCTGCCCAATCTGAAGACCACGCTGTGGTGGGCTTGGGGCTGGTGTGTAGAGGCCCAGGACGAGCGAGGCCCAGGGATTCACCTGCACTTTTCAGTGCACTTGTATTCACGGTATTCATGACATTCAATGCACTCAAAGGCTCTCCTTCACTGCCGCAGGCCTGGAGTCCCTGCAGTCTCCTGTATGCACAGACTTGTCGGGGCCTCTCCAAGGTCTTCTCCTGCCGCTTGCGCCAGACCTCATCGCCAGGATGGGAAGTTATCCTTGTGACGGGCCTCTTGAAAATGCAGCTGGTCAGCCTCATAGGAAGTTCAGTCCTTTCATGACGCCTCCTCTTCATCTTGGATAAATGTTGTCTCTTCTTCTCTAAGGTCTGGGGCATCATATTTCTTTTGAGTTTTCCCTTTGAAAACAAAATAAAAGTTAAATAACAAGGAAGATAAAGGCTTTCAGTTCATTTGGATCCTCTACCTGCCTCTCTTTCTGGAGAAATGTATCTGTCCATCACAGTCATCTGGAAAGGTGTTAAAACTCAGTTTTCTGGACCTCAATCCAAGTAGGCCCAGGGTAGGGTCACACATTTACATTCCTAAGGGTTCCCAGATGGTGTCGATGTTGCTACACAGGCACTGCACATTAAGAGCCAGATTGGGGACATCAAACAGATATGAGTCAAGAATAGAAGGCTCAAGGTGATTATCCGAGTTCAGGTCTAGACCATTCCATCACCACCTTCCTCTGAAGATGTTTCCCTCTTGCCATTCTTGTCAATGCCAGCTACGCATATGCTGGTACCTCTAACCCAGTGAAGTTATGGGCCTTTCAACCCCTCAACACGCACTTTCACTTGCACACCCAAGTCCCATCTTTCTTTAAATATTCTCTGGTTTAGAATAAATAACAGACATATCATATTTCCATCACACAGTTTCTTTTTTGCACAGAGACCTTCAGTGTCAATCACCATTTTTATCCCGCTGACTCCCTCCTTCTCTCCTTCTGCTCCTCCCTATTAATCTCAGCTGCTCTATCTGACTTCACCCAATTGGTGCTTCATAGAAATCAGTCCTGCTCTCACATTTGTTCTACATCCGCACCCTTTCTAGGCCATCCATCCATTTCCCTGGCTACAAATACCATTAATGAAGTAGAAATGCCCATAGAATCAGTGCAATCTGACTTCAACCCTGGGACTCAAATATCCATCTGCCCACTTAGAACATCAGTGCTCACATCCTTAACTCACAGTGACCAGGTGTCACGCTGAACCAACCAGTTCCCAAATAATGCACCACTATCCCAGTGTCCCCGAAAGTCACTTGTTGATGGTAAAATCCTGTTTAAAACTGAGTGTCATTCTGGACACTCTGCCACCCCTCTGAATCCATGTAAATTTTCTCAACTTTTGAATAATTTTTGAACATCTTTCTTTCCTATTTCCTTCAAAATACTGTTTACACAGAACGACCTTCCCTGATCCAGCAATCAAAATTAATATTACATTTTCTTCATCACTACAAGTCCAACGCGCTATCCATTGCGCCACAGAGCCCACTTATATTACATTTTCTGTGTTAATTTTTTCAATTTTTATTTGTATGTGTATTATTATCTACTTCTTTTATATTACTTTTCTCACTAAGCTGGACTCTCCATGAAGAGAAGTTTAATGTGGACTTTAATGTTTTACACTGCTATATTCACTTCTTGCTTTGCTCTTAGATGGTGCTCAGATATATTTATTGGAAAAAAAATTATTCAAACTCCAAAAAGCTCTAATTATTTCAAACACATTTACTCAACCAGAATTACACAATGATCTGCAATTATATTATCACTGCCTGGGAGTTCAAATCCTTTCCCTCTGTAATCCCTTATAAAACTCTAGTCACAATAATCTATTTAAAATGTAAATCCAATCAGCACACCTTTTGTTTTAAATACCTCATTTCTGTTTTCAGAGGTACTTTTTAAAGGAGAAACCATAAATCTCATTGCATTTCTATTATCCTGCCATAATTAATACTGTCCCTTCCATTGCCCAAGAAGTCTCAGTTTGGAGGGAAAGTTATGTGATTTCCCATTTAGAGAGCCTCTATTATATACCAAGTTGTGTACTAAAACCTATGATTTAGAATTTAACTTAAAAGTCACTGCCCCTGTTGATTTTAATCTGGCTTGGAGGAACGAGTTAATAGACTCATGAATGTCTAATATCGTGTTAGGTATAATTAAGTGCTGCGAGAAACAGTAAGGCCAACACAGAGACAGAGAGAAAGAGGAAGAGATGGAGGATGAGAGGTTAAAAGGGGTAGAGAAAGAAAATAACTACAATTATTGCTGACAAAGAGACTAACTGATGACAAGATTTTGAGTACAGAACTAAATTTTTGTTTAAATGACCACGCACACTGTATATAAATAAATTTCCAGAGAGGAGAACAACTTAAACAGTGCAGGGTCAAATATTACTAATTTCTAGTGATGTTTGATATTAGTTAAAAACAAAGCAAAACCAGGACAAAACAAAAAAAAAAAAAATCAGGCCTATTATCCCAAGAAAGCTTTATGCACAATCAAATGTACAATCCCTTGAACATTATTTAACAAACATTAACACCTAAGAATTGACCTTTAGTAAGATGCTTTCTTGTCTTAAGGTCAACAGTCTACAAATTTTAGGAGGTTTCACAAAAGGAAAAGTATACAGATGGGCACTCTTGCTATCGATACGGAATCTGTACTCACCAGAATAGGCTGGTTTGTAATCCAGAGCGATGCAGGTTCCCCCATAGCTGCAGAGCTGTCTTGCTGACCCACTTCTGAGATGCAAAAAGCCAGTGGCTTGCTGAAAAATGCACTGACTTTTGCCGCTGATTCCCCTTTTATGGAGGAAGGGAGTGGATAATCCAATTAGCAGAACCTCTGACATCTTGTCTTACATCAATGGTATTAGAGAGGTTTCTTTAGAGATCTAAAGAAATCTAAATCTTTATATAGAAACACAAAAATATGGGAGTATTGACACTGTTAAAAACTGTTATAGATTTTAAAAATTAATGCATTCATATGTGTGCGCTGGCTGGGGACTGAACCCGCATGGGTTTGATTTTGTGTACGGCCAGGGGCTCTGGTCAGCTGGGCCTCTGAGTGGGGGCGAAATGACCAGCTTTTAAGGGTTGCACCAAAAGGAGGGAGGTCCTGCATCTAGATAAATGTACTGACCTCTTTTCTTTCTTAGGAAATGTATACTATCAAATGACATTTAAAATATCAGTATGAAAGTCCTTTTTACTGTGGCTGTATATAGCAAAATTAGGTAAATACTTTATTAACAACTGAAAAAAATCAACGCATTTGTTGGTATATTTTCAGTTTCTAGCAACATTTGAATGATTTTTATCACCCACATGGTTACAGTCTAAATGGACAAGAATGGAAGTTTCTATGCCCAAAAATTTCCATGCAATTTACGTCTTAATAGAAAAACATAGAGTGTTTAAATACACAGTCATTAAAAGTAAATCAATGCATATTTGCATTTCACTTAATTACCAATAAATTTGAGATTATTTCAATCATCTCACTCTTTTCCTTCCCTTTGACCTAATTAGATAATATCCCTTTACTCTCTATTTCACTGACTTTGATTTAACTATTTTATTATTTCATTGTTCCATCTATAAATTTGTTAGTTGATATCATGTACAAATCTTTGTGTAATTACACTGATGATTAAATCGTGCATCCTTTAATATACTATACTACAATTAATTACTTTTCCCACTACCCCAAATGCTAATGCCTTAGAATGTTTTCAATTCTATTTTTAACCTTCCTAACTTTTGCATTACTGTTGTCATTCATTTTAATTCAATATGCTTAGTCTTTTAAATGTGTTTTCTTTCAAAAAATTGAAATCCCATATAGTGCATTGTTGTTTCTATTGCACTTGGTTGGACAAAGCATAGGATAGATAACTAAGCCCACAAGAATGAATTGTAATGAATCCCCAAGGCGAAGGAAGCTCTGCCACCTTCCAAGAAGGTACAATTTATGCTGCAGCACAGGTGTGTACACACACACACACTTGAAAATGTACATGATTTTGTCAACGTAAGAATCATCCAAACCTGTAGAGAATTATTTTAGTTCATTTAAGCCAAGGTGATGACATATGTCAGGGACCAAGACCTCAAATGCTCCCAAGAATAACAGTTTTGCAGCAGCTTTTATGCATTTAAAATTAAGGAGGAGATGTAAGGAAGATTACGTGGAGGTGGGAGAAAGCAAGATAGTGAAGGATTGGATTACAGAATAGTTAACAAGGTTATGTACTTTCTTGAGGGTGGTTACCGCTTAGTCCAAAGGTGTGCTAACCTAGATGCACAGAAACAATGAATAGGGCTTGCTTAAGGCTATAAGCCTTTCAGTAAAGACTTTACATACATGGGGCATGCCAACCCACCATGACCTGCCCAGTTAGAAATTTATGATCACATCATTCTGTGAGGTTACTTTCCACAGAACCTTTTTTTATCCACAGGCTCAAACTTTTTTTCCCTTGGTCTCTCTCTTTCCCTTTATCTTCATACACCGCCCCTCCCTCATACTGTGAGGTGATGGATGTGTTAATTAACCTTATTGGGCTTTTCATTCATATATATATACACACACACACATACATACATTGCATTTTATACCTTAAATTTATACTGTGTTATATTTATGTCAATCATATCTCAATAAAGCTGGGAAACAAAGATTTAGCTGGAGTGTTATAGAACCCATATCTGTAGTCATCTTGGTAGGTTTATAGTAAGTGTGTAGTAGTATGTGTATGTGGCATGGGAGTGTAGAGCATGTTTGTGTGTAGTATGTACTATTCTATTTATTTGAAGACCAAAACAAGACCTGTTTTACCAGTCATTTGTTTCCTTTAAGATAGTAGATATTTGAGCATATTTAAATGCTGATGAATTTATGAATGTCTCATACGTGAAAAAATTAACATAGAAAAGGACCATTGTTAATATATTAAACTTAATGGAATTTAGAAAAGAGTTCACTGGACCCTTAAACTTTTTTCAGCCTTCACATTTGCTTCACTCTTAGGATATAGTCTGATTATTGGTCAGTATAGGGTAAACATGCTGCATTAACAAACACATACCACCGCCCCCTCCCACAGCCTGGCCCCACCCCAGCCTGGCCCCGCCCACAGCTGCCCTCCTCAGTCTGGTTCCCTTCCCAGCAGGTAACCCAGCCCAGGGCCCAACCTTGTTCAAACTAAACAAACTAAAACACCTGGGCCTGAGGCAGGGCTGGGAAGGCCAGTTA